CGATGTAAATGTCAAAAATGATCACAGTAAAAAAGCAAGACGATAGCTTTATCGGTGTTCATAAAAAGTTCTGGCAAACTTCATTGTAGCTCTGTAACGTTTAATTATTTAATTTTAAGTTTCAACTATTGTTGTTAGAAAAAGCTAAAATCGTGTTGAGGACAGAATTCCAGAACATTCGTCGCACGAAACATTTGAGTCATTAACAGATATTGAGCAACAAAACATTCAGTTGCTTTTGTCTCGTCTGGTTGGAGTTGTTGCTGAGAAACCAAAAAAAAAAAAAAGGAGAAAACTCCGACACTTTATGAAAAAACATTTGATCCTTAGCTTTGAATCATATCTTCTTATACGTGAATACGAAATACTGACGGAGAGGTTCACATAACGTTTTTCTTTTGTATAAAGTTAATGCTATTGTATGGTATTGTTCCACCATTTGGAAGGTTAATGTGCACAGATTAGCATAATCTTAATGCAAGAGGGTTAACTTTCCTCCAGCAAGGCCAAAACGCCTAAAACTTCCTCAACTGGAAAGATGTTGGCTCTTCCGAGGTAAAAAAGTTCTGTAAAACTTTTTAAATCAAAGCTGGTTGCTTACCAACCATTCATATGGCGCCTTTGGCGAATTCCACGGAATTTTCAATCAAGTATTTTAAGCCTCTTAATATTGCCGAATTATATTGGGATGGATATTTAATTTCCGTTTTGAATTTATTTCAGCAGCTATCAACAGAAAGCCTGGTTAGGTAACATTTTCTCCAAACATGCTTACACTTATTTGTTCTTCTGAGAGTGTTACCTTAAACTCATGTCAGTACAGCTCCTGTAAACAGGTCAACCACTCACATTATAAGCTAAAGAATTCCACCAAAAATGGTTGACATGGAAACAGATATTGTAAATTGTTTTTCCCAAGAAAAAGGACACCTTATTGTGACCATTGTCGGCTCATTTCAGTTTTTAGAGAACCACTAAAGGTTACTCAAAACCATAATAAAACCCAAGGGGTCACGGATCTCAATCTCACAATGCAATTTGCTGATTTGGTCTCTTTCTTACAGGACATTCCCAGGTAACACGAATTTTGAGTATTTTCTCAGACAGTCAAATATGCTAAAGCAGATGCGTTACTGAAAAATGTCGTCAAAAAAGCACTATTCTTTCGACCCACGAGACTCAAGTGGGTATGGCAACTTCTCCACCACTCGTGATTCTGGAAGACCCACATATACATCAAACATGTTCTCCGCGCCTAAAGAGAGCAAGATCGACAGAGAAAACTACCTCACGAAGGAAGATTCTAAGCGGGTGTCTGAGAATGTGACTAAGTCTGTTATAACAAGAAGTGTTATCGACAGACGATCCAGGTCTTCCTACAGAACAAGAGAAGACAGCAAGTCGGGTAGGACGAGAGATTTACAGGGAATTTCAGACACAGGTCCATCCAGGTTTTCTTCAAGTGTTTCATATGACGCGAACGAAAATGAAACCAACGCTCCCATAAGTTCATTCTATTCCTCTTACGCTAAAGACGAAGATCTCAACAAAGAAAGCGGGATATCTTCTTTTTATCAATCAAGTATTGGGTCAGGAAGGGATGGGAAAAATGCTGACCATAGAACCAAGACGAACAAAGAAAATACAGATTCCACACGTGCTTTAAGTCAAAGAGCACCGTTTTCTGGTGTTCATGCAACTGGAGGATAAAGCTTGAGGTCTTATGATAAGACTGACTCGCATGGTAACCTTATGCGTGAAGGATCTTTGGAGAGGAATGTAACGATAAAGGACACAGAAACAGCTTCTGAACGGGCAACGGATGATTCGAGAAAGATTACTTTGGACGATGTAAATATTCTGCGGAGGGCTTTGGAAAGAAAGCAAGCTTCTAATTCACTGGAAAGAGAAAGGCTCTCAAAAAAGCTTTCCGAAGACGACCCTAGTGATCCTTCCGACCCTACTTCAAAGGCATATTTGTCATACAGCGAGAAAGATTCTACTGCCGACCAACTACCGAAGACAAGATCTTCAGTAAGAACAACCTATGACCTCGGTTATAGGGGAAATAAAAGAACTGGAAGTGGTGAGGTCGCCGATCCACTCAAGAAATTTGAGGTTGCTGCGGAGAGGCTGGGTCGACAGACCAGAAATACTCATTCAGAGGAATTTCCAGGAAAGCTAAGCACACGTTCCCGTTCTTCCGAACACCTTGACGGCAAGGAACGAAGTCGACTGGGGATCTACCGAGAATTACCAGGAAGGAAGGAACTCCTATCTTATTCCAGATCGTTATCTAATGTTGCAACTTCAAGATCCGAAGATAAGGATTTTTCAAGACAAGATAGTCGGACCGGATCACTGGATCGACATGGCGGCAGTATGGATTTTAAAAGCAGAGAAGATCCTGACAGCCGTGCTTCTCTTTTAAGGCTAAGAAGCAGGTCTTCGGAGGAGCTGAGGTCCCTGGATAAAGAGAACGAGAAGTATCCAAGTTACAGGTCTCGTTATCTTTCACGCCAAGGAAACTTTGAGCGTGGAGACAAGTTTGGTCGAGATGTGACAAACACGAGAGATATTAGAAGACCATCATCCCATGACAAGCTTAGAGAAGATATAGCTAAACTCAAGGCTGAAACAGAATCACGTGTGACCAAGAAAGGTGACGTCAAGCTTTATTCATTTAGCAGAGGGCCCTCCATCACGAGAGAAACGGAACCGTCGTCCCATGTAAAGCTCAGAGAGGACATAGCTAAGCTCAAGGCTGAAGCTGAATCGCGGAAGGCGAAGAAGGATGATGTCAAGCTTTACTCATTTAGCAGAGAGCCCACCATTCAGGACAAGCTAAAAGAAGACATTGCTAAACTTAAAGCTGAAACACTGACACGAGATCATGGCAAACCTTACATCCCACCATATTCTTCAAGGACAGAGTCAGAAGACGTTTCCTCCAGATGGAGACGTCGAGAGCCTTCCATCCAAGACAAGCTTAAAGAAGACATTGCCAAGCTTAAAGCTGAAACACGAAATTTTCCAAGAAAGGCCCCTGCTACCACTGAAATAATTATTCCAGACAGGAAGATGGAAGAAAGGGGAAATGTTCGGCAAAGTGGACTCGCCAGAACAACGATTCAGCGATATCACCTTTCCAAAAAGGATGGAGATGTGTTTAAAGATGAACTAAGGAGCGAAGAAACGCAGAGGTACGGCAAAGCTGATGAAGACCATGGAGTTTCCACAACACGTACGAATGGCGCCTTGAGAATGGAGGACAAGCCCGTTCCTCTCGATGAACTCACGTGCGCCGACAGGAATATCAAAGATGAAGTGTTTCCAGAATCTTCAAGAGAACACTCTCGTACCACGAGAGACCAGGGCGCTTCGTTTCCGAGAAGACCAAGTGAGGAAGCCCCACCAACATTCTTCTCGAGAGCACGGGATGACGAGTCTTCATCGTGGCCAAGAACAGACGAGGGTAGACTTTTGGAAAGGAACGATTCTTTGACCTTTCCAAGAAAAGTGTGGGATGATCCCAAGCGAACAAGCTGGGAAAGAAGAGCTGAATCCACTCAAGGTTATGCAAGTAAGAAAGTGTTCAGGGCAGATTCCACCGTGTCCATATCATCCACCAGGGATACAGAAGGCGGTCCAAGCTCTGTAAGAGGATTTTNATGATAATCAATTCACCTTCACATTTCATTACCGAGCTTAAAATTCACCATCTTTATTAACTTATCACCACTCATTTAATATTAGTATTTCCACTGTTACCTAAAGCTGTGCTCAAAACTCATACTGGGCCTTAAGAATAGCCATTTCAAATGTTAAAATTGCGCTTAAACCTTATTCTTAGAGCGGAGAGAGACAGCATGAACTTCGACTAATGCAAGGAGCATATGCTTGAACGCTGCCAAACTTTCATTGGAGTAAGGGTGTTAGGCACCTAATTTTCACTCTTCGTTTTTTAATTTCATGGTAAAGTTTTCTACTACAGGTTTCGCCACTACCACCACCGTTACCTCCACTACTGCCACTACTAATATTACTGCTGCAGCTACATCAACGTGCTGTCAATGCCGCTGCTTTATCAAGGAAAACACTAAAGGAGATATATTGTGCTTATGCATTATACTTTTCATCTTATTTATCAGAGTGTTGACGTCACTTCTGAATCGATGAGCCGACAAATCAGTAGACAAACAAGCCAAGCCAGCACCGCAAGGCGGATCAGCAGTATTCGTGAAGAGGATTTAAGGCCAACAGCTCAGACAACAGCAATTGGCGAGTCTCCAGATGAAGTCTTTCCCAAGGAGAGAAAACCACATGAAACGTCTACAATCATGAAGCAAGTGTGTGACGCAGGAACGATGACTGCCCCTGAAGTACAAGAGCACGTTGGCGGAGACATGATTAGACGACAAGACTCAACCGTCAGCGAGATAGTGGACGGACCTGTCAGACTCAAGGAATTAAGAGGTGTTCCCATCCAACAAATTGAGGAGGTAGTAGCACATTTCAACCCCAAATTTACACTGATAGTTCTTTTTCTTGTGGAATACTTAATTATCTTTTCGTTAAAGCAGAACTCGCCTGAAAATAAGACGACTTAAATTCCTCTTGCGAGTATGAGAGTCGATTTGAACTAAGAGCAAAGATCCTCGATTTAAGCTACTAGCATTGCATCACGCATCTATTATAAATGTAAGGCGAAGCAAGTTACCTGACCACACTGGGGCGCGAATTAAGGAAAATATCTTGCTTAAGATAAAAATCAGCTTACACATTTCATGTTCACGCAAATTTTAAACAATTACTGGATGAGGTTTTTGTGATATCCAGAATAGTAAAGGTCGAGGTAGGGGTTATCAGCCGAAGCCAAAAGCTGAGGCTGATAACCCTTACCGAGACCTTGATTATTCTGGATATCACAAAAAACCGAATCTAATAATTGTTTTATCGTACATTGAACGGAAAAAAAAAATGGAAGTCATGCTTTTGCTTCTTCACTGACAGCAAGCAACACAAATCACGCGAACTTGACCCTCAGAAATCATGCACCGCGATTATACATGACATGATTACCAGTGACCTCCAGTGTCCTTGACATGATTATTGTATAATCTGTAGCTAGATGACGTCACAGGCCTTGATTTCGAAAATTCACTGTTCGCTTTCGGCCAATCATAAAAGAGATAGTGAGTTCAATGTATAACAATACAACAGAAGTAATGAATTGGGTAAACATTAGACTAATAATTAATGACCAAAATGCATTAATCTGTGAGGAAGGGAACACTCTTCAAAGATCCTATTAAATACGCATTAGTCTTTACAGGAATGTCTGCCAGCACAAAAAGTGTTTTTGTTTTATAAGATGCCAACGAGAAATAAAAATACCCACGCTGAAACATTCTTTATCATATGTCAATCATCTTTGCACATAAAGGTGGGGACAGGACAAGGGAGAGAGAGTGGAGTTACCACAATCCAAATAGACAATCAACAGCAAACCTTGTCACCAAAGAAGGACGCACAAGGATGGTGGAATGCTTTTACGGCAGAGGACGTTGACCGCTTACTGGAGCTTGGGAACTGGGGCCGATGGAATACGTATACTGCCGAGGACGTAGACAGAATGTTCCAACTGGGCCCTGTTAGACGACGGAGTCTTCGTCGGGGATCTTACGAGAGAAGGTAGATGACGTGGTTCCTTCTTTTAACGCTCTTGGAACTTCATTCGGCGAGCACAAGGGAGGGCACGCAATGGAGGCAGTAGCTATTAGGCTAAGGATGTATTATTTTGTTTTAGCATGTATATATTGGCGTTGCTATCAAACTTGTTGAACCATATACCAATAGAAATTTTTCTCTTCGTGTACACATTTCTAAGAATGATATTGGAAGATTTCCAAAAAAAAATGAAGCTAGTTCTCCAGAAAGATGTAATGCAAGAACAATACATCCTTCAACGAGCATACCGAGAAACACATGACATAGTAATTATGAACTTGACCAAAAAGAACAATTAAAAAATTTGGCAATGGTATTTGTAATTATTCCTTCGGGGAGAACGTGTTTTCAAGACGAAACGATGACTACTAAAAAACCTTAATCGATTTATGTAAGACACCTCTTGATGTGACCTCGTTTTCTGTATTAATTTGCAGATCTCTTAGAAGATATCCTCGGCGCTCACGGGATGATCACGTGGATGTTCACGTGAGAGTTAGAGGAAGGCAGGAAACACGCAGTCGTCCCCAGTGCATCATTGCCCAGGCCGCGCCAGAAGAGAAGGCCATAGTGCTGAGAGACACTAAAGAGACTGCTGATCCCTTCATTAGAAAGATCAAAGTCGATGATGTCTATGGTGCGGATGCTGTGAGGGTCGAGAATGGTGTTGTTAAAATTAAAGTTGGTGACTTAACGTCTAGAGGAAAGTGAGTGACAGAAGAGCATTAGACGTTAACAGTTACGATTGCAACAACATCTTTATAGGCCATTTCCAAGTTACCTTGCGTCTCTGTTTCAAAACAAGGCCTCGAGCAAAACGTTTTATATGAAAATGAGTTTGATTTGCGCGCAAAAGAATTTTAAAGTGAATGGTTTCCCTCGAAGACTCGTTTTGACCCAGAGGCAAAAGACAACTCTGCAATGGCCTATTCACTCATACGAGATTTGTTTGTGCCTATGAGTCAATATGAGTTATCTTGGAAAGTAATGCAGTTTCTGTTTTGTTTTTTTATGTTTTGTCTTTTTTAATTCGTGTTAGGAATTGTTATATATCTCAGAATTAATTCTAACATTTAAATTAATGTTTTTATCATTTTAGAAGAGCTTGGGCGAGGATTCTACAGCAGAAAAACCGCATCGTTGAGGTATGTCACCTGATTAATTCGTAGAATGATTGGTTAGTTCCGGGTCTATTAAAGCTTGTAACTTCTTGTAACAGACTGGTAACTAATAGGCCATTTCCGAGGTGGCTTTTGTCTCTGTATCAAAACGAGTGTTCGTGCAAAACAATTCATATTCACCTAGAGGTTCATTTTCATGTAAATCAAACTCATTCATATGAAAGGCTTTGCATGAGGACTTGTTTTGAGACAGAGACAAAAGGTAACTCGGAAATGGCCTATTCGGTATTACTTAGGACATGTTATAACATAGTAATGGGCCAATCAGATACGTGTAAATTTCTTAATTCTAAGACTAATCGTAAAGCAGAACGTACGTGAAAACTGAAATCATTGACACCTCTGAAGAACCAAGATTTTGTGGAAGATCTTAGTAGCAAGGTTATACAAGCCGTTTCTCTCTACCAACGACCGTGTCCCATATGGAACAGGACCATCTATATATGCCAACAAATCCTTTTTATTATAAAGACACGAGTGTTTTACTGGAAAATACACCACTCGTACAACTCATACGAAACTACATCCGAAACCCCATTGGATTATTTTTCATATCCTCAAAAGTGAGGATATTGATGACGTCAATTTCTGCTTTTTACCGTTGTTTTTGCAAACAGTCAGTTTGTTGTCTATAAAATAAATGAAAATTACACGGTGCGCTAGCAACTAATCGCGTGCCCTGAATGCATGCACATGTGGCGTCACTTACTACTGCTGTACAAAGGGTGATAGTGTTAGCTGCGTCACAGTTTTCGCAGCTTGAAAAGTTTAGCCTAAATTTTTAAAGTTCGTCGTTTGTAATCCGCGTCAATCTTCTCCATCCTTACCCATCCTTGTTCCTTCATAGTTTAAAATTATCTCTTTGGTGTTTTTCTATCTTAGTAAACTACTATTTTTAGGTGTCCTTCAATTTTAAGGTAATTCTGCACCCGGCCAAAATAACTCAAAATACTGTGACTGAGCACCTTTAAATGCAAGGTATTTTATTTGATTTTCTCTTAGTCGGACGGCACTGTCACTATCCCAGTCAACCAAGATCATTACGAAGATGGCGTATACTACACAAACTACTACCAAGGACAAGAGCAAGACGGCACCGTGCGAATACCAATCACAGTCAAGATACAGGAACAGAACAAAGCCAAGGCCAACAAGCTACGCGTTGTCAGGGAGATGAAAAGAAGCGGAAGCATGAGACGCAAGCGAAGGACCGCTGGTAGCAGAGGGTATATCGTGGGCGCACGGTACTACAGTGGGAACTTGATGTTGAAGTCTGCTGATGGATATCGCTCGCAGGGAAATCAGCGGGAGATTGTTTTGAGGCAACGGCAAGACGGTGCAAAGGTATTTTGGTTATGATGATAAAGATAAGACTAAACAAGGAATTGATTTCCTTCATGCCATGGACTAAAATCTTCCTTTGCCTGAGTTTTACTTGATTAGTAGCTCACTACATTGTAAGAACGTTTTCAATATGGATATTCTCCCGCTCTCCCTAAAGTTAGACGTATCTAGCAATAAAGATGAAAGATAATGCTAGAGCTTTTAAATACAAGATATAGCTAGCTGTGAACAAAGCTAGAAAAGTTTACTTGCATATTTCCATCTACTATAAAATAAAGCAAACGGTAAAAACTCGTTGATAAGCTATCAGAAACACAATATAGGGTTGGAGATCTCGCTCCGTATTAGGTTATCTCGACCCATATTAGGTTATCCGCCAGACTCTACCCCCCTTGGTGATGGATCTATGAGAAGCGTTCAGGAAGCCCGGATTCCCCGCCCCCCCTCACTCCTCAACCCTCCTGAAGCCCCTCCACTCTACCCCCTTTGAGAAACTTTTCGCTCAGTAAGAGCGAATCGCACAATTTAAGAGAGGTAACCCAGAAGAAGGGATTCTCTTTTATACCTAGTTTCTTGTTACTTTTGTTTCTTTGAAGATTGCTAGCAATGAAATTGTGCTAAGNGTATATCTGATAGTGCGCTTGAAATATGATACAGTATACAATCTAGGGGTACAAATTTGATGTTGTTTTCACCAGGTTTAAATCTTATTGATATATATCTTGATAACGGTTCTTCAAATATTTTGATTGTCACGTTTGGAGGTTTAAGTATGAATGTCTTGAGTAGGAAATACCAAAACTCTTTCCAGAGCCCTTTCTTTCAGGCGTTCAAATCTAAGATGGAGCACGCGCCAAAATGTGTTTGAACGCCTGAAAGAGACTGGGGAGGAGGTTGGGTGACTGCACTAAGAAATTCTTTGGAAACGTTTCGTAAAGTCAACCAGGCAATGAAAATTGTTCGTGAGATCAACATACGCAATCAAGTTTCGCTACTAGAACTGAATGTTCGGGTAACTGTTATTATAGCGATTAAACTATGCTAGTTTTTTTTCTTTTAGGATACATTAAATGGCCGCTCGATGGCTTGGGCCGTCGAAGAAGTTCGTCCAGATTTCTGAAAATCAGTTAATTACTATCAGGTACAAATGCTTCCCATTAATTACAAGGCGGTGCTTCATGTAGTTCGTCATTACAGTTGAAAGCATTTCCTTCTAGATCTCCTTCTTGTAATTCCTGTTTTCTCACATTGTACTGTTCATAAAAAAATGCCACTTTGTTATTTTCTTATTATGTGTTGGTAAATTAAACGTTTGTTTCCATTTTCAGGAGGTAGTCAAACAAGAGAGTTGAAGTTACTTTTGGGCTTTTGGAGACATCGTAATTTGAGCAGCAATTTGGGGGGATTGAGTTATGAAGAAAAGAAGAGAAAATATTTTACATTAGAAAGCTTATGTCATAAATAATAATTTTACTGTCAGAAATTGAGGAAAGGATCATAGGTCGCGCCGATAAAACGATTCGTTTACATTGCCCTCTTTCTCCTGACAATGGTTTGGCTAAAAGAAGACTTGAACCTAGCATAGCCAGGTTACTAACACTGCTAAGTAGCCTGGCGATGTTACAAATGCAATCAGAGCTATTCAATGTTTTATTTACACCCATATAACAGGATTGCTTGGGTGATGGGAAACGAAACAGTTTCTTGCGGTAGCTTTAATGTAAATATGAGGCTCGAAACACGAGTTTTGTTAAAAAAAAAAAAGACATAGAGTTAAGGATATGGTTATGTAGCTTTTCGTTCTATGGGATATCAGTTTAGGAACTATGTAGATTATGTGAAATGAAGCTAGAATTTTTCAGCAGTTACTCAACATAGAGACACAAGCAAACGCAAGAATCTCTAAACGATAAGTTGTAGTCACTGGAAAAATTAAGTTACTGACTCTAGACTTTCATTGGCCAAGGAAATTAACCCCGTGTAACAGAACAGGAAAGGACAAGGCTTGAGTATGAGAAGCACCCCCCGCCCCCCTTCCCTCCCCCCTCCGATGCAAAACTAATGCAATGACGTAATATTTAATTGGTTACAAGTCCCGGACATACCGGACACACGGTGTAAAAATACAAGAAATGTTCCAGGCAAACGTTGTAAATCGGAATAAACATACCACAATTGAACGATTTGCGTAACATTGTTAGCGAACTTTTCAGTGTGCCGAGCAAAACTGGTCCCATCATCTGAGGGCAATGAGGCAGTTAGTGAAAACACGTCAAAATTTTGCAAGTGGAGAGACAATGACATTGTGTCGTTCAAAGACCATTGGTTGAATCATTGCGCTCAATGTTGCACATAGATAGGACGTGTTGAAATTACCTTGCAAACAATTGAAAAAGTAGACAACTTTATACAGATGCACTCTTACGTATTCAGTCCAGTACAACGTGGAGGTGGATACATATGCGTGCCTCAGTATAGTAAATGTGGACAACACTGCTTGTAATATTGACCTGTATGTGTTCTGGGCCGTTGAAGAGATGTAGGCACGCAACACGTACTTTAGTTGACTGAGGTATGCGCTTAGCTTAGTAAGTTTTACTTCATTATTTAAAGCTGTATGCAAATATGAGAATATATATAGCTACTAGCTATAATCCAGTAGACCTGTTGATTATAGGACAGCAATTTTAAAAGCTTCTTGTTGCTTACGTTAGTTGGTCTTCATTGGTAAAGGGAGCGAGTGGGAGTGAGCAAAGTACGGACGAAGAGAGATTTTAAGTAAAGCACTTGAAAGCACTGCAGTAGCAAATACTCTATTGCTTTCTACTTGAGCAATGAGTGTCGCAATCTTTTTTTCAAAAACACTTGACCATAGTTTTACTAAGGTTCTAAGAAAGAAATTTTACTTACCAGTATGGTTTATTGGGGTAATATTAAAACCCCTCGGGATGCTAGAGGAAGACTTTGTAAATGGTTTCAAAGGGTTATGTCGCCGATAAAAAAATCCCATGGATTTAAAAATAGCAGATTCATTATTTTTGCGAAATGATTAGTTATTATACGGTAGAGCGGTTTTCAATTGAGTGTCGTAAAACCAAACCAAACCAATTACTTACCAATTAGACTACTCAGCCAATCTCAAACCCTAGTAAAACCAAAACCAAAACAATGGTCTGATTACTTTTACTGAACACTCAATTGAAAACCGCTCTAATGTGTGCAGTGATTAGTGATGATCAGCAAAATGATCAATGATCAAGGCCTGCGTACAAGGTTACGTGTAACCGATTGCGGTTGTTTGACTGACAAACTAACTAATTGACTGATTGGCAGTCTGTCTGTCTGTCTGTCTGTCTGATTGTCTGTCTGACTGACTGACGGACGGACTGACTGACGGACGGACTGACCGACTGACTGACTGACTGACTGACTGACTGTCTGTCTGACTGACTGACTGACTGACAGACGGACGGACGGACGGACGGACTGACTGACTGACGAGGCGAGCGCTCTCACCACTGCACCATCCCTGCTCCCCAAAGAGTTCTCCCTGAGCCACTCGATTCTCTAAATCGCGGCTGGCTCCAGCAACGAATGAGGGAATCGAAAAGCTCCGAGAAAAAACCGCGCTCTTTCATTTGTCAAATAAAGAGGTTTATGTTATACAGCTAGTCAATCGTTTTATCTGCTACTTACAACCCCTTTATAACAGAAGCATTTTGCGATAAAACTACAGTGGAAATCCGTTGATACGGTCACCAACGGACCATAAAAATTTGGCCCTATTAAGGGGTAGGGTCAAATTGCATGACCGGTCTAAATTGAGTGACGTTAATTAAAACGTCTGTTAAAACGGATATATCACAATTTCACTTCTAACAACTTTTCTTTAATAAAAATAGGTATGTAGCTTTATTTTTTTTTCAAAAACTGAAACTTTAAACAGTAAATATAATACTGACAATGGAAAGAAGAACATAATTGTTTTAAGTGAACGTATAAACGGGGTAAAGACTATAAAGGATTATACAGGCTGGGATTTCAGAATGTGGCCGTTACGCGTATTAACGGGGTGGCCGCACTAACGGGGTTTTCTCATAAGAAAATGTATGGGCGTTTCGTCGGGACAAAAAAGGTGGCCGTAATACCGAGCGACCGTATTAACAAGGTAACCTTAAGGCGGGGTGCCACTGTAATACTTTTCCCTTGAACTGAAAGAGAAGCTTATAAAGAAGCTTAAAACTGCGCAGTGAAATTTAAAGAGTATTCTCTTAAACTGATAGAGAAAGGCCTACAAAATCCTACAAGGCCGGGTTTGTTGTCATAAGTGTCCACACGCGATTGCGAACGTACTTTACAGGTTTGAATTGTTTATCTGAAAATTGGTATACTTTTATACGAAATAAACTAGCACCTCCATCGACTAGTACTAAGAGTGCGTTTGAAGCCGACTTCTAACCCCTGTCTATAGCTAAAATCAACATTATTTTTCTATGAACAACTGAAGTCTTAGAGATAGATATAATGACAAAGTCCAATATTGTCCGGTGTATTTAGTTTTCTTGTAAAGTCCCGGGGGAGGGGAACTCCCATATAAGCTCATATAAAAAGGACGAGGGCGCTCGTCGGAAATTTTGAAAAGAACCCCTAAGAGGTAGCAAGATCCTGTTTTGTGGGCGTGGCTTGAAATGTTTTTCACCCTAAGAGGTACCAACTCTAAAACAATACTATAGCCTGTCATATTTTTTTTTCGGTTCAGGGAACGGTTTCTCGAAAGTCCCGGAAACTTTTCGGGCCCGTAAAGCCATTTTTAGTCCATCTGTATCTAAAAACAAAGAAGTGTATACGTCTGAAACTTCTTGTACGAAGGGAACTTCTCTTCATATTAAGAATATGTGAATAAAACAGCTCTGTTATCGTAAGGTTGGAGATTTTGCTATGGCTTTACGGGCCCGAAAAGTTTCCGGGGCTTTCGAGAAACGGGTCCCAGTCCCCTTAAAGGTGTCGGCAAAGCTCTCGCTGTGGAGCTTTTGAGGCTGAACACCCTAAGAGATACCAAAACTGCATTTTTAGCCCCTGAAAGTTACGACGAGCACCCCTGTCCTTTTTATTTGGGAGTCCACCCGGATGTAAAGTACGATTTGTTGACACGTTGCGTGACAGCGCTAGTTTCCATTGATTTATTAAAGTGTTTACATTTGCCTTCAAATTTTATGTTATTAAAACATTTTCAATGTAAAAGTATAATATTCTTTAATCGTAGTATTAATTCTAAGCTGGAAGCACGAGAACTTTCATCGGTGTTGTCTT